CCCCGCCACAACAGAAAATTTATTGCGGATTCCGGCTGTTCTGCTCAAGCACAGAACAGCCATGTACTCGGGGGAAAGAAGAAGAAGTGCAAGGCAGTGTGCCCACCAGTAAACAGACCGCCTACGGGTCGCCCCAAACGATAGGTGCGCCTACAGCCTAGGGTAAGCGTCGGCCGTAGGCGCCCAGACTACCCTGGAGAGACTGCATGCCTATCGTCCTCCCTTTCTCCAGAAAAGTGTAGGCTGCTGGGACACACCAACATAACTGGGATGAATTTCGTTCACTTGAACTGAGAAGTAGCCGGAAGGAAGCAGGTAGCTTGATTTGAGACGTGAAGTGGAAGTAGACCCTCTCACCATGACTCAGAAGTGAAGGACATCGCTAGAAAGGTCTACGATCCGGTTACCAATAGAACAAGGCATTCAAGTGTGTTAGCTTCTCAAGATTTTTTACAAAGCATAAAAATTAAAAACGTCATTCTTCTCCGCCACCTCCATTGACGTACAATCATCTGAACAATTGTGAAAGGTGAATTCGAAATGGGAAACATACGATCAGTGCCTACTAATACCGCATAAAGAAAGTCTGCCCCTTGTGAATATTCGGCGAAAGGGGACCACAATAATCAATCAATCGATCATTGACAAGTTCACAACCAACCAATCACCGAATTGCGATTACCAATCAACTATCCCACTGTATCCGCTCAGCTGGTTTTACTAACAACACAAATGTGTTGATCGGCAAAGACTTCAGCCCACTCTCTCTCTCTCTCTCTCTCTCTCTCTCTCTCTCTCTCTCTCTCTCTCTCTCTCTCTCTCTCTCTCTCTCCCTCTCTTAACAGCAACAAGTAAGACATTATACAATGGTTCCCTCGATGAAAAGCAGATGGAAGACATGCAACATTCTTAGAATAACCAAGCTGCAGATGACAGAAAGCATAGCTGCAGAAGGGAGCTTCTCTGGAGAAAAGCAGCTGAAAGATATTCAGATATGAAACCTCCCTGGGACAACCAAGCTGTAGACGACGGAAAATTTACTAGTTCCCACCATCTCTATGTCAAAGAAGATGACGAAGTATGACTCACCCCCCGCCATCTAATCTGTAAAACATGAGACTATTACTGATGACGCAGACCTGACTAAGCTAACAGGAGCATGCAATGGATTTTGGCTTATAAACCCACCAAGCCCTTCTCGCATTGCATTCAGACAGTCTCATGTGATCAGATCCCAGCATACCAGTCTTCCAGACACTTGTTGAGTGCAGCAGAAATGCTGACGATACAGAACCATATCACACGATATTCCGTTGCAAACATTGGTTGCTCTTAGCGCGATATTCGGCAAAGGCAGGTCCTCTACTGCCAACTTCCAAGCTGGCTGGTGAAATCTTAACAGGTTGAAAGGAAAGAGTGCAGAGGGTAACGGCGGCAGGGGGAGATTTGACAACGGCACAGAGATTGTAGGGGAGAAGTGAGGCAGGGATAGTGGGAGCAGGAGGAGAGGGAGAGGGAGAGGGAGAGAGAGAGAGTGGACCTTGGGGGGAACGGGGGAGTGGGGCGCACAGCACGGAAAGAAGGGTTTGCAGGGAGAGGTGGAGGTAGAGGGGGAGAGAGGAAGAATGCCAACCACAGGCTTGCCTCACACATCAGTAACGAAAGCTTTGCCCCACTCCATGGCTGGCCCCCATGACAGGGTGCACAAGTGAATCCACCCCAGCCATTAGATGAAAAGAGTCATGATCTCCAATCTGGCCTGCAACTCTTTTGGAACTGAAGGCTTGCCAGCTCTCACCATTGGTTGAGTCATCAAGCAGACTTCTCCCCAAGTAGCTGTTTGTGAAGCCTTCCTGTGGTGTTGCTTGTGTAAGTGGGGCACCAGCCAATGCTGGTCTGCGGCTATTCATCAGTCCATCAAGGTCATGGCTGTTACCATGGCCAAATACCCCATCCCCCAAGCCGTTCGTTGGGTTTGAGAGGCTGTACATGCTCTCTGTAGATGTGCCCAATGGCTTCCCATAGGAGCTAGATAACATTAGCTTATCTGCAACACTACCATGCATACCAACCCCCTCCTTTGCAGTACCCATCCCTGGTTTTCTGTACCCAGGCTTGTAACCATGTGTGGGCTGGAGAGAAGTTGACGAGAGCATGTCCGATCCATAGGGCAAAGCACTCTCTCGGTAATTGCCCCCCAACGAGGCCAAAGAGAGGTTACCAGAGGCAGCCTGGGGTAGAGCGCTCTCATAGGATGACGACTTCGTCGCAGGCATAAAGTCGTCATAGGTTGTTGAGCGAGGGATGTGTGAGATGCCAGCTGTTGACCCATACGGGGGACCAAGAGCCCCGAGAGAAGATCCGAGCGATCGTCCATATGTGCCATAAGAAGTGCTGAGCCCCCCAAGGGATGAAGTGAGACATGAGCCAAGTGATGAATCAATGGTTGAAGAAAGAGATGAAATCAGAGACGAACCTGTAGACGAACCCATCGATGAGCCAATTGTTGAGCCCAAATTTGAACCTAGAGTCGAGCCCAGACCTGAGCCTAGAGATGAACCAAGATGAATCTGAGGGCCGAGGGTCCCTTCGGGACCAAGGCCACCCAGATGACTAAGAGTTCCCTGCGAACCAAAAGTCCCAAGAAGGCCGACAGGGACCTGGGAATTGACAGTCCCCTGGGCTGCAAGGGCACCCTTAGGCATTAGAGAGCCCTGAACACCTAGGGGGTGCTCAGCACCGAGGGCACCCTGCGGACCAAGCATATTTGCTGCTGGCATTTGTAGAGAATGCAGAGAGGAGGAGGTATTAGGGCTGTATGGTGAACTGCCCAGCAGACCATCACCAGTGCGATTTTGTTGATGTGTGCCTAGCGGATCAAGTCCTGACGAACGAACAGAGAGAATACTTCCTTGTTGAGTACCAAAGTCTGAGCTTCCGATAAAAGACTTCCCCAAACCATCTCCCGAGTGGTAGCCAAATGAGCCTGATGAGAGTTGGGGTACCAATGATAACCTCTTGTTCGTTTCTGAAGAAGGCTCTTCTCCAGGTAACAACGGCAGCGATGAGTGGACATTCTCCGTTCCCCGCAAAGAAGGCACCATCAAACCATTTGAATTCATCCAATCCGTTGGCCTGGAAGAAGGGAAAGACAGGAGCATACAGAAATAATACTTAAGTCCTGGGAACAGGAAGAATAACAAAAAATAGCCCGTTTCTGTTTACCAGAAGAACTAGCCTAGCCAGAAATTGCACCTTCGCATAACATGCCCAAGCGCAGGTCATTCTCTCTGCACATATGCATGTCACAGGTGTATTTCTGACGAGGTTAGGTTCTGCATTTTAACCTGACCGGGCTGTTTATGTACTTTTCCCCTGAAACAAGCTATCAATCAATAGCAAAACCTTTGAGAAACTCCTCTATTATGGACATCCTCATAGAGGCTGGATACTGTTGATTGAAAAAACTTGAGGCAACCAGTACCCTGTTGGATAGGCTCTTAATCACACTCCTGGATGTTTATGCCTTTTCAGACAGGGCATGACAGTCTGACAACCCACAGCTCGCCTGAGGCTGTAGACCCCTCAGTTGTACCAGAGGCACTACTGCTCAAGACACAGGTTCTCTCCCTGTGTGCCCTGCAATACAGAAGCCAGCACAAGGCCAGACCAGGCAGCATTACGCCAACAGGGAAACTATCGGAGCCTGCTCGCGAGAGTATCATCCTACAGGTGCGTTACTGTTCTATCCCAGGTGAGAATCAACCACACCGCCATGCGAAGGGCTTGACCTCCCTCACCAAAATCTGGCTATTCAGCAGCAGCAGCATCACGCCCTAAACATAGTCACTCCATAACAGCCCATGGGTATTCCTTCCGACCAAGAATGATCCAGACGGGCTTCCTGAGGGATGGTGGGCGTCAACCCTCCTGTCAGTGTGTCTTCACAGTGGGAATGCTGGTGATCAGCCAAATGCACAACCCCCATCCTTCTCCACGAAGGCAGGACACCAATGTTCTCCACTGCCAAACCCCCCACACAGTCAGTATAATCATCTGTTAGCCGATTTGTATTCAGATCGTTTTGATCGATTAAGGGCTCAGCTTAATCTGTGACCATCTAAGCTCCTCCACACCCTTCGTGATTTTGATTAAGTCAGCCCAACCTTCTCGAAAAAAGTGCGGCCTTCTCCCCAGTCAGCATGGTTGGAAGGCACTCACCACGCTCAACAGTCCAGTCCGGGCAAACTATTAACGAGAAAGATGGCAGAGGGAGTACCGTCAAAGGAGTTCATGAGAAAATGACTCAATGTCAGTTAATGACCCAATAACCAATAAGGACCAAAGGGGTTCTTAAGAATTAAACAGTTAACACGGACCAGTCTTCTGTTCTTCCGTGTGAACCCCTCAGTCTGATTGCTGGTGCGACTAAAAGACATAATATCCACAACCACATAGGATATACCCATCTGAGTCACTCAATCTGCATTGTGTAGATGCCCTTCAGGTGCAGTTAACTGTCTACTATTGCTCACTCAATCTGCATTGCGTAGATGCCCTTCAGGTGCAGGTAACTGTCTACTATCGCCGTATTACATCCCATCCACAACGATGATGATCAAGACTGGACCCAGCTCACAGGGTGGACATTGAGGTGAACACTGGCCAGAAGATGGAGGATTTTTCTTAGGGCACCAGGTTTCTTCATGTGGATGATGGAGTAATGGATGTATGTCATCCTTAGAACATCAAAACTTGCGACAAAAATGAAGCGCCAGACCGTAGGGAGGTGTGAGAAAAAATGAAAGAGGGAGAAAAGCCAGCAAACAATGCAGGACTTGAGGATAATGAACAGCATGACACTACCTGCTTATTCTTCATCTGTTTCATATTCACTGCTCATGTATGGGCATTGGTATACGCGATAAAGAGGGAGAATAAAGGTTTCTTTCATGCGCATGTGCGCTGAGTGTTTGCATGCATGATAACGATAGAGAGCAGCAGGCATTCGCAGTGCATTTATTGAGAGGATATGAAAAAGTTCCTAAGGCATAATCCAAGGAATAGTATCAGAAGAAATGCGTGGTTGCACATGTTTAGTGTTGCAGGTCAAAATGAGTGTGCAGTTGAATGCATCCAGAGAGCTGAGAGAGGTCCCCATCATGTAATGAGAGTGTTATCATATTCACTACGGACAACTCCACAGGAAAAGACCTTCAGTGACTAAGCAGGAGTTTGAATTTCCACAGTTTGTGAAGGTTACATGGGACAGATCCCTCAGACAGACCATCTCACCGAAATAGATCCACCAAACTCGCAATCCTCGCAGACTGTCTTGTCCTGTCCCTCATACAGATGAGCCCATAAAATCAACTCATCCCGCCCAGTCTACCCACATGGTGCATGCACTTACCCAGAATGACATGACCATGAGTACAATTCCGGCACTACCCTCAACAGTCCACCTTCCATGCGGGTTGTCATGTGTGTTCGACAGACAGACAGATGGTCGGAGAGACATAGGAACAGAATGGGTGGGCCGGTGGGCGGGCAGGCAAGCGGACATATGGATGGGCGAGGGGACGGACAGACAGCAAGACAGAGACAACGGTTCAGATTCGCACGTCGACGAGGAAACAAAGAGACAGAGAGAAACAAACATACAAACTAACAAGCAAAAAGAAACAGGAAGATAGAACAAACTGAGACAGGAGCTGGCCCGGGGGGGAAGAGAGAGAGAGAGAGAGAGAGAGAGAGAGAGAGAGAGAGAGAGAGAGAGAGAGAGAGAGAGAGAGAGAGAGAGAGAGAGAGAGAGA